AGTTAACGCCCCCGGGTCTGGGACTCGAACCATAGTCGACTACATGGGAGTCCAGCGATGTAACCATTAAAGTATTTGCTGACCCCAAAACAGTATATTTTAATATTCAATAAATATTTGTTGAATGAAATAATCGACTTTAACAAAATTGGTATTTTTGTTGAAATGCCTTAATTTATTTTATTTATTATTTTTTTATTTTTTAAATTTATTTTATTTTATTTTATTTTTGGAGAGGTTTTTGCTATAGGGCATGTGTACTCTCCAGAAAGACAGAGAGGGACAGAGAGACAGAAAGCAAGAAATCACCCTGGGGGTGGGGGGTTGGCCACACTGCAATCCCTTCTCCTCCATTCTCCTCTCAGGATCTTGGGCACGCACCCACATGTGACTGTCATGAGTTTAAGCCACTGGGTCTGGGACTTGAAATGTGGTTGACTACATGGGAGTTCAGCAATGTAGCCCTTATGCCATTTGCTGGTCCCAGAAATGCTTTGTTTTAAAATTCTCTAAAGATTTTGCTCTGGCTCATTTTCTCTTAATACTTTTAATTGATTAATATATAGTGTAAAATAACCAGAAGAGGCTGATTTATTGATAGGCAGTAAAGTAAAATGAAAAAAACTTGAAGAGAAAAATGGATCAAATGGAAAAGGAATATAAACTTGGAAGATACACAAAATCTGAAATTTTAGGATATAACGTCAGAGAATCTTTAGATCTTCATTAAAAAATATTACTCCCTTTTCTATGCATTCTGGAGTATTCTTTTAAGATGGCGATTCTTCATTTGATATACACTTTAGATACTGGTGGATACATGAATCTAGATCCTAAGCTGGGAATTTATAGATCTGTGAATGTGAGCATGTCGTCATGCGTTCATATGCCTGGTCCTAGACAGGCTTGTGATGTGCATTGTTATTGAGAGCCGTTCCTGCACGGCAGTATTTCTTGAATGTGTATGCTGCAGCCACTAATGCCCAAATCACGTAGGGTGCTGGTTTCAATTGCAGGTTCTTATGCTCCACCCTGGACCTTTTGTATCTGAATTTTTGGATATAGGTCTTGGAAATTTGAATTTCAATAGCCAGGGTACTATTTTTTTTGTTCTTAAATATATTTATTTATATGTGTGAGTGTGTGTGTATACATACTTTTTTTTTTTTTTTAGGAGAGATTTTTACGATAGTTCATGTTCACTTGCTAGGGAGGCAGAGAGTCAGAAAGCAGGAAATCACCCCCTCGGGGGGGTGGCCACACTGCAATGCCTTCTCCATTCTCCTCTTGGAATTTGGGCACACACACACACATATGCCCAGTGTGGGATTTAAACTGCTGAGTCTGGAACTTGAACCACGATTGACTACGTGGGAGTCCAGTGACATAATCATTACATCCACTGGCCCCACTTAAACTTTGGAAACTAATGTAGTAAGAGTATGCTTATGGATCTCAGTTGTTAGTGGGCAGTGAACTCAGCATAATAGGCCATAATTTGAATTAAAAAAAAAAAAAAGAAATAGAAAATGTCAGAGAGCATCACATGTGGAAAGGGTAAACCAAGTTGCATTTCTATAAAATATGTCTGTGTGTTCTGGGTTACAGTTAAACATGTGTTTCTTAATGATTTGCAGGCAAAAAAGTTTGAAAAATAATTGCTTTAAGAAATTAAAAAGCCTTACACTGGCCCCATAGCCTCTGGGTTAAGAGAGCCACATCCTACATGCCTGACCACGGTTTGAATCTCAGTTCTTGTAGAGTGAAAAACATGCTGGGTATCTGTGTGTGCATGCCCCAAATCCTGACAGGGCGGGAAAGTGAGGAGTAAAGACTGGAGTTTGACCACATTCTTTGGGGATGCATCCTCCCTCTCTCTCTCTGTTTTCTTTTTGGTTAGTGGGTATACATTACCTGTGGCAATTAAAAGGAGGAAGAACTGGAAAGACCTTCAATTATATAATTTAGGGCCAGCAGGAGGTGTGGTGGTTAAGATGCTGGATCCCCACATGGCCAACAGTGATTCAAGTCCTGGACCTGGTGGCTTACTTTTTCACTCTGGTCAAATTTAAAAAAATAATAAATAAAACTAAATAATTCTTAAAAAAATGATGTAATGTTAAGGAAGTGCTACATCTTTTATTCTGAATTTTCCACACACTGTCATGATCTCAGGTGGAGGTAAAACTTTTTTAAAAAAGGAAGCCTCAAAGAGCACATCCACAAATATACATTTGAGTTAAAATTTTGACTGTAACTATAATAATAACAATAATTAAATCTGAGGTTAGTAACGGTTATCCAAGGTAACATACTTATTGGTTATTGACACTGCAGACAGACTTGGAGCTCCAGGAAGGCTGTTCTTTCTCTAGCATACTCCATCACATACTCCCTTATTTTCTCGCCTGAACATGACTTACCTGTGTTATTGTCACTAATAAGCATGAACATATACATTTGATAAAGATGCCAGTCATAATTAGCTAAATTATTTTCTTTTTTTAATTTTAGGAACCGTATAGTCAGTGGCAGAAAAGTGGCCAGTTTTTTCTGGAATCAATAGCACACAATATAACTTGGGATCCCACAGGTAAGAAAATAAGCAGGATTTACTGAAATGAAGTATTCCTCACCTTGGCCATTGCTTTTATCACTCTCAGGCATTTTTTGATTCTGTTCTGTGTGAGAATGTGGGGAACGCAGTGAGTATAACCAGTTGTGCCCTTTTAGATTAAAGTGCACTGTAGAAGATGACAAAAAAGGGTAACAGCTGTAGTAGGAACACTGTTGTTTTTGAAAAGTGACACTAATTCTCTTTGAAGAATCATAATTTCATTGAAGAGGAGCCTTTTGACCTGATAGCAGATAAAGTTTTAACAATGAGAATGGAGTAGATGGAGGAGGCAAAAAGAAGTGAATTCTAAGCAGAAATAATGAGTATATGTGTGAATTACCTAGTTCCCTATTTCTGTATTAAAAACCATCCTCAAAAAAAAAATAAACCTCAAACTTGGTGGCTTCAGACATCAGTCATTTTATTGCTTTTGCAATTTTATGGCTCATCTCTCATTCTAGGTGGTGTTGGCTGAAGCAGTTGTCTGCTGCTAGATCTAAGAGGGCTTGGTGCTTGCTGTCTACAGAACTGTCTTCAGTCCCCTCCATGTGGCCTCTTTCTCTGTGACTTCTCTAGCAAGGGAGCCTGGTTTTAACATGACTGGCTTCTGAGAGGGAAAGTGAAAGCGCAAGGACTCAAAGCCTGAGGCTTGGCAGACCCACCATTGGTATTCTTGCTGCATTGTATGTTCAGATGAAGTCAGATCCAGCCCATATTTAAGTGATACGAGAAATAGACTCTACTCTTTTTTTTTTTTTTTAAGTTTATTTACTTATTTTTTCCATGAGCAAGAAAGAGAGAGACACACACAGCACCCCCAGCAGGATCTTGATGCCATTATCCACCCCAGTCTCAGCCAGCCCCAGATCCTGGGCATGCACATGCCTGCTGTTCTCAGGGAGGTCTCCAAACCTGAGCCCAGAACTTCCCACGTGGGTCAGCCTTGCAGAGTGTCGCATTCCACCAGTGTACAACTATCCACCCCCAAGGCACTGCCTCTGGATGAAAGATATGGCAAAGTCATATTGCAGGGGGCATGGGTGTAGTTATTGGGAGCCATTTTTATTATTTTGCAATGGCAAGCAAAGGCACAAAGAAGGAAAGCATGAACTGTGTTCTAATAAGGATTAGTCTTTCATTAGGGCTGGAGTGAGTCCAGTGCATGTTAGTGAGGAGATAAGACTCTAACATGTGATACCCCTTAAAAGTCGTAATAAGGAATTTGAATTTAATTGTTTTTAATTGTATAGAAACTATTAAAGTTTTTTGAAAGAGGCTAGTAATGTACTAAGATTTATAGCTTTGCAAGATTGCTCTGCTAACAGCGATGAGAAGGATCCAAAGCAGGAGGAACAGGAAGCAGAGTGACGTCTGATGAGAACATATTCACTGTATCTGGATGAAAAATAAGAACTTGTTTTGGCCCAACCTTGGTGCCACATACTGATCTGCGGTGCTAGAAGCCACATGGCCATTGGCAGATTCTCTCCTTTTTTCTTTTTTTGAGAGGGTTTTGCTATAGGGCACGTGCGCTCACCAGACAAACAGGGAGAGACAGAAAGTAAGAAATCACCCCCCAGGGGGGATGGCCATACTGCAGTCCCTTCTCCTCCATTCTCCTCTCGGGATCTTGGGCACACATGCATACGCACCCAGCGTGAGTTTCAAGCCACCGGGTCCAGGACTCTAACTGCAGTTGACTACATGGGAGTCCAGCAACATAGCCATTACGCTAACTGCTGGTCTCGCCATTGGCAGGTTCTCTTGCCACATACATGATGTGCACACAACCAAGATCCTGACTTGCTGGAGGGCTAGGGAGGGGGACTGTGGCATGGGGAGTGCCTGTTGAAGTTAACTCTGCCTGCCTGTGTCTTTCTGATGAGAGACATTTAAAAAAAAAAAAAAGAAATTAGAACTTGTTTCAATGCCTTCATCGTAGTAGACACTCAATATTAAATGAATTAATGAATAGTGAAAGGAGTTTGTGGATATGAAATACACCTAGGCAATAGAATTGCCATGACATGTCAGCTGAGTTTGAAATTGCTTTCAGGATATCTGTGACCATAAGAAGAGTGACATGTAAGAAGAGATGGAACATAATGTTGTTTGTGTATGGTTAGTTCGAGGCGCTTGTATATCAAAGTGTTAGAAATTTTATTTTAGGACATAAGTTTCCTTTGGAACATAGAGAAGTCATTAGAGAAGATAATTTTTATTGTCATAGAACACATGGAATGACTGAGAAAGATGTCGATTTAAAACATAGACTTTAGGGAACCAGCAGTTAGTATAATGGCTATGTCGCTGGATTCCCATGTAGTCGACCATGGTTCACGTCCTGGACCTGGTGGCTTAAAACTCATGCCAGGCGCGTGTGCGTGCGTGCCCAGGGTCCCGAGAGGAAAATGGAGGAGAAGGGGTTGCGGTGTGGCCATCCCCCTGGGGGGTGATTTCTTGCTTTCTGTCTGTCTTGTCTGTCTGTCTGGCAAGCGCATGCACCCTGTAGCAAAAACCTCTCAAAAAAAAAAAAAAAAAAAAAAACACCAAAATATAGGCTTTAGTACCTTTGGAAATCATTTTAGGGAATAAAATATATCAGTATACTTTGATAATTCTTTAAATCACTCTGTTTTATTATTTTTTTAAAACAAAATAGAATAGTTTATTGGTAAGTACATGGTTTTAATGTCAATAATAAATTCACTTGAAAAGGAGACAGTAATCAAGTCAAAAGAATAAATCCTTGCCAATCATCAGAAAATCTGTGTCCATTATGGCTGTCATGTAGAAAGCCCAAATCACTGAGAGGCTAAATCTTAAAAAAAATTCGTCCTTTGCTAAGTCCATATGGAATAGGTCCATAGAACCAGGAGTCTGTAGAATTCTGTAGAATATCACCTTCTAACCAAACAGGACCATGGGCACATAATTATGGCTTTTAAAGAAATTTGACGAGCTAGTGGTGTGGATTTTGTCTCCTCCCAAACCAATGACTCTTTTGCAAATGTTTGATTTTGGGCCACTCGGGCTTTTTGTAATTACAGCGTCACCTCTTTGGATACCATAAAAATGTCGACTAATATTTTCTGCAAAGATAATATCTGAATTTTGAATGGTAGGCTCCATTGATGGTCCAGAACACATGACAACACCACCAACATGTTCGAAATCACAGTGAGCTATACAGCCATACTGAATGGTATAGCCCACAAAGTCGAAGGGTTTTGCCCAGAACACCACGAAGCATAGTTCTATGTAGGCTTGGCCACCATTTGACCTGGTTTTTGTTTTTGTTGTTTATAAAATTAATCGCATTCAGCAGGGATCACTTTGAGCTTCATGAATGACATCCAAGAGATGGGAAAGGGTTAGTTCTCAGTTGCTGCCAGTTACAACGCCAGGTGGCTTCTTCTGCAGTGAAGGTGTTACTGCTAATCCCGTTACACTGGTACTGAATCTTGCAGACGTCAAAATTATCACCAAGGTTCCTTTTCATCCCATCCTTTCCAAATGACTGGAAGTCGCTTCGCCATTAGGTCTGTTCTAGAATACATCAATTTTTAGGGTAGTTGCAGGGCTTCCAGAATAAAAAGTGTCTCTCAAACCTACATAGGTGGTCCAAGGCTTCAGGATTCCTGGGCTGTGCCCTCACTCAGTGTTTTAAAATGTTTCTTCATAAGATTGATGCTTACCAGCTGGTGGTAACCTGTGTATGTATTGTGTGTACATACTGGAAAATGTTGGCCTGGGTTCAAATTTGGCAGTCAGTGCAGCATGCTGTGTAGACCTCTCTTTTGGGCAGGGAGTCCTGTGTCCTAGCCTTCGCCTGTTGTCCTTGTGTGACTGTTAATAGTGTAGCATTTACTCCTTTACATATTCCCATTGGATGGTCAATTCACGATTACTCTGCAGAAGCACTATGGTCTGCTGTAGTTACTTCTTTGCATTTTGAAAAATTAGACAAAGGTAAAGATTTTATTTTATTCGGTATGTTATTAATACTTTAAGTTTCCAGAATATATTAGATGCTCAATAAATATTCACATGTTTGACTACTAGTTCTGTGATTATGAACAGGTTACTTAATGCATCAGAAATGACCAACTCATTTGTAAATGAGTATCTGTTTCACAATATTGTTTATTAGTGGTCAGATATGATAATATATATGAAAGTACAGGTCGTGCATCCCTAATCTGAAAACCCAAAATCTGAAATGCTCCAAAATCCAAAACCTTTTGAGTGCTGATATGACACCACAAGCAGAAAATTCCACACCTGCCTTCATATCAGGTCACAGTCAAAATACTGTAATAAAAAATATATCTATAATTACCTTTTGATTATGAGTGTATGGTGTATATAAAACAAATCAATTTCATATTTAGACTTGGTCCTGTCCCCAAGGTATCTCATTTTGAATATGCAAATATTTCAAAATAAAAAAAATTTGAAATTTGAAGCTTCTAGTCTCCAGCATTTTGGATAAGGGATGTTCTGCCTGTATTTGGTGAATGATAGACGCCTATAGAACTATTGTTGGTGAGTAAACTGACTCTACTTGAAGCATCGTAGTAAAAAGTGGAATTAATATGTTTAATATTGGAGTTTGAGTTACTCTAAGCTTGAAATTTTTGTATCTGTGGTCTGTCAACACTAATGCTTCAGAGGATAGCATGAATGTTAAATATCTCTAAAATTATGTTTACAGAGGAGTATTATAAGAAAATTACTTTTCTCATATATGTAGTAGTGACTTGACAGCCACACATGAATATTGACTATCTTTTTTTTATCTTGATTGCCTTAAAATTCACACATAACACTTTTTTATTTTTCTATATAGTGGTGTGAGAAATGAGCAATGTAGTAAATATTTGGGAGTTATTAGTGCATTATTATTTCATAAATGAACTTTGTAATTATAAATAGCTTTTAGATATTTGAAGTGAAATAATTCTATTTTATCT